AGGCCCTCATCACTTGCATGTACATTTGCTACTAACAACGCAAAAAAGAAAATGAAAGGGTGGGCTGCCTACACTACACATAGTGTGCTCTGCATTTGCAATTATGATTTACTATAATAAGTTTGATAGGCTATCGGTGCTTGCATGCAGTTCTTCCAAATATATGGTAGGAAAGTGAAAGGGGCGCTTTTCCATCTGGCACCGCTCGAGCTACCTCTCAGGCGGCGTGCCATGGCGCGCCCCAACAGCTAGTCTTCATTAAAAGGAGACAAGGTCGCGCCTTATCTTATACCATCTTTATTTTCTATCTACCATTTTCTCCATGGCGTTGTGGGGCATTATATCGCTTTCCTTGGGGAATATGGCACTACAGAGCTTAAATATGTAACTTTAACAAGAATGTAATCTATTACGTCCTCTATCGAGTGAGAAAGGCTCTGGATCTTACTGGCTATCCCATGAAGTCGTGAGCTAGCTAGGTAGGTTTTGAGTCTCATTTCTTCCTATTAATCTGGTCCCTAGTTCCTCGTAGGACCAAGTTGGTATGTCCTCTATCAGGATATTTGTATTGTTAGGCATGCTAATTATATAGACAACGATCTTGCATGTGCTCTAGTGGGTCCTCTATCACGGTAGGTATAGAATATTCTACCATGATATTTAGTTATTTGGATACCATTGCATATAAAAAATAGAATAACATTTAAATCTTAATTTACGGTGAATGTGGACCTTTATATTTGCTTACATTACATTTAGGCAAAATATATTTATATATTTGATCTGTGTGATCCCTCAAATCTTGGTACAATATTCTACCAAGATTTTTACATATGTAGATCTCAAAACATATAGAAATATCATAATACATCCAGACACAACTGAATTAATCGATGCAGTGATGTTTTAAATTTACTAAGGGTTGGGGAAAGAGATTTTTTAATGTCTCAAACTAAAATCTCCATAGAGAATATGTCTTCAATTTTCAGTTTAAGACGAAATGAGGATTTGTAAATGATAATTATTTTCATCCTTTTTTACTTCTGAGAACCTTTATGTTCAAATATTAGAGTGCTTACCATTCTCTTAGAAAAACAACTATTTTCTATTACTTTGAGAAACATCAAAACAATAAAAATAATAAAAAATATTATAAGATATATTAATAACTAAATAACATATAATTTGTAATAAAATAAACAAAATTATAAAAAGTAAAAGAGTTTAATATAAACAATGAATATGTGAAAAACCCATCCTATGTAGTGTCAAATCATCGGGAATTTTCCTCCATTTGTGATTTTTTTTCAAAATCATGCGTTGATATGTCAACAAAATATGGTAATATCCATTAGAGATTATTATTTTGTTTTCTCCCGTTGCAACGCACGGGCCCTTTTGCTAGTATAAATAAAAATATGCTTTTTATGATTGACAGTAGCAACAATTTCAGAAATCTATGAGTGGTGCTTGGGACATTGGAGTGAAGACCGCCACATGAATTCCCTGAACGGAAACAAGGATTGGTGCCTTAAGATGCATCATTACCGATGATAAGTTCTGGTTTTCAGAATTGGCCATCAGGCGAACATCCATCACACACAAGTTGATAAGGTGACCCGTTCTGAAAGCTCAAGGCTCAAGTGGCACAAAAAAGAAGATCAAGCAGGTAGATTAGCCACACACACATACACTCATGACGACACTCATTATTGGAGTGTCATATGGCGAGGTGGGTATGGGCGCTTGCATAGAAGGACTTGTGCAACATATGATAATTAATCTTTCGGAAGATGCAAATGTGTGGCTATTCTGGTTTTTGATACCCTTAGTCAACATGATCGGGCAAGATTTCTGGTGAGCATGGGCTATATCGTGAACTATACAATGTGCTATCCATGATAAGGAATACTATGACCCCTATCTCACTTTCTGTTTCATCAGTGAGTATCTTGAGGATATTCAAGTAGCAACGACGTGTATGGAGAGATGTCCGTTAGCGGGACCGCCCAGAACAATGACCAAATGGATCTCACCAGGAGTAGGATTACATAAAATTAACGTTGATGAAGAAATTTGCATTTCGGAGGTAGTAGAAAATAGAGCTATATAGGTAGAACTATAATAATATATAAATCATAACATCTTACACAACAATGTCAAATATCAAGAATAGTACCGAATCTTGGTAGCCATTGTCTTCATTTAAAAAAACATTATTTTAGTGTTCTTTGAAATAAAATCCTCATTAATTTTTCATAATCAATCTTCATTCTATTTTTTTTATTTTTCTTACGGTTTTGGTAACTCTTGAAACACTAAACGCCAGTAGATGAAAAGAATAATATATTAGCTACAATATTTTAACAAAACTAAACAATGGTCACAAAGCGCTACTCAAAGAGTCACGGTCAAGGCCTCGCCCTCACGGGATCGCCGGTTATTGACGCTTGAGTGATGGCTCGAACTTTCCCTACCTTCCTGCCCTCCTGAGAAAAGCCGAAGCCCAAAGAATCGATCAAATTTGCGTCGATGTCTGCCGGACAAAGAAAGGAAAAGACGCGTATGCTAGAGCCTGAAAAAAAATCAATCCAATCGACGCCCAGCTAAACAAAAAGGATCCACAAGACGCCGCACCAGTCATTCAATCAAGCAACACATACTGAACCTCAAGACCATCTCTGCCAATTCTACATACTTATTTTGCAATATAGATACATAATCGATGAGTACACAAGAGGGGAAGATGGAGCTTAGATTTACCTCTCTTGATCTCCTCCTCCCTTCATTAGGACCCATACATAGCTTGTCCTATTATTATTAGTATACATGATTCTATATGAGCCACAACAAAAGGAAAATCGACATCCATCAGATACACCAAGCTAAGACAATGGATCGATGGATGAACACCAGCGGTGGAGATTATTGATGGATAAAATTGTAATTTCACAGCCCGCCATGAAGGGTGCTTGATTACACGTGCACGAATTGTGCCTCTTGCGGAAGGCAAAAAAGAAAATGCATTTTTTTCCGTTTCCGAGAGGCACGGCTGTGCCTCTCGCGAAAGCAAAACCGTGCCTCTCGCGGAAGGAAAAAAACAGAACACCTTTTTTTACTGTTTCCGAGAGGCACGGTCGCGAAAGCAAAACCGTGAATTGCTGGATGCATAACGTAAATTAGCTTTCATCAATGCATGAGCAACAAAAATGCTTGCATGTATGACAGAATTACAATTGCCAGTTGAGAATATAAAACAGTAAAGCCTACTTAAATAGCTCACACATGACATCAATCCTCGATTATAAACGAATAAGGAAATAGTGACGTGCCTGAAGAATATCAGTAGAAGAATCTATCATATACTAGTGCCAATACAAGAATCTATCATGAGACCAAGTGACCGACATGGGCACATGTATTAATGCATAGCAAGAGATGAAACAGAAATGTAAATGTTGTGTTCAATTGTACAATGCTAGCATATAAGCACAGAATGGCACTTCCTCTTTTTTGCCAAACACACAGAATGGTTAATTCACCAAAAAAAAAGGAAGAACCACATCCTTACTGAAGGATTGCCAGGACCTCTGGTGGATTATCTCTGTTCGTCACAAAATTCTGCTAGTACTCACACCCCTGAGATCTGATTATCTCCATTGTCTGAACAATAATCCTCCCTTCTGACAACGCAGATCCTTCCCGTAGTAGATAGGTGACACTGAAGAAAATCTACATACATATTTGCATTGCTGCATAATAAATGGATACATATAGCATTTCCGCCGAAGCGCAGGTAACAAGTTTCAGTTCCTCAGGATTTCCTACTTTTCCTGATCCACGGAGCTTCAGTCACAGAAAGTGTTCATAGAACAGAAAGTAAAATACAGAACAACAATCAGTTAAAACGGTTCTTTGATTGCTAGTATCTCCCTCCCGGCAGAAAACACATCAATCAAATATGAAGAGGGCAGAAGCTCAGATTTGCACCGCATACTGTGGATAGCAAAACTTAACAGTGTAGCAGACATGCTGCTGGTGGTGTTAGAATTGCTTATAACTTAACTCAAAACAAAAACACTGCATTACCATCAATCTATTGCTGCCACCGAGGTGGAAAATCCATAATACAACCAAATAGGAGTAGATCACAATCCAGCTGAGAACAACGAAATCGTCCCCTTTGCTGCAGAAGAAATTACGACCAGCAGGTCGAATCGATTCGAAGCGCGTGATCCGGTGGCTTGGCTAGGGCTTGGCGGGATCCGGGCTGGGGTGGGAGTCTGCTCCTCCGGCTCCGGCTGCCGCCGCGGCGGCGCGCTTGCGGGCGATGAAGGCCTCGAAGACGGATTCACAGCACTACGTGTTCTCATGTCGAGAACGCTGCGCACACGGGCGAGCAGAGTTTTCTTCAGATTCACAGCAGGGCTGAGCAAAGGACAGAATGAGATTTTCAGTCTCCGCTCGTATGGCAGTCAGCAAATTCGCACAGTTGTTGAGGCAGTGTTTGCGATTGTTCGACATCAAATTAAGCAGCTCGCATCATCAATTCATGGATGGACATGGACTAATTACAGCACGCACGCATGCATGAACCGTACCGGAGCACAGACACACACCACAGCGACAGAGGAGGTCGACTCGCTAGTCCTGCTAAACCCTATGTCTAATTGATCTGGCTTGGTGGACTATATGGAACGAGCGCAATGCCAGAATTTTCAAAAATCAATCGTCGAATGTTTCAGCAGTGCTGGAAAGGATGATCGAGGAATCAAGAACTTGGCATACTGCAGGTCGCCGCAGGGCTAGCTTGTTGATGTTTAGACCTAGAGAACCTGACTAGGGGGCAGTACTAGCGGTAGTTAATGGTGATTGGCATCTTAGGCCTCTCCTTTGATGCTCTTGTAACTTCTCTGTATGTTGTTCCTCCACACCCCACATTTTCAATGAAAAGCTGCGCTGACAGCATTTTCGTCAAAAAGAAAATGTGATCTGGCTTATCAGCGGCGACTTTGGGCAAGGTCGACGGTGGTACTGCTGCAGCTGTTGTGTGCGCTGGGTGAGCCTGCGAGGACGAGGTCGTCGTCTTGGGTGCTGCTTCTGCTGCTGGTGCCAGCGTAGTCGTCCTCCTCGGTGATGGGGTCGAGGCATCCCTCCGCCGCGCGGCGGAGGCGGAGCCGCTGCAGGCGCATGACGTGGAGGGTCTCCGTCGGGGCCACCTCGTCCGCAGGGAAGCGTCCGAGGTGCCAGGATCTCTCGGCGGGGGCCATTGATACTACTGGTGTGGAGTCTTCCCGTGTGATCAGTTGTCGTTGCAGCGACGGGGAGAGGTTTCTTGGCCTGCTTCAGATGTGCGGTGGTGGTGGTGCACGGTGGGTTGAGCTGAGCAGAGCAGCTTTGTTCGTTTATATAAAGCCGGCGAGGCGAGCCGGAGACGGACGGAGTAGTACCGGAGCACGCTAGCGATCGGCGATTTGTGGCCACCCGTGTTGGCGCGTGCGCGCGTAGCTTCCTTCCAGGTAGGTGCTGCTTGTTGGGTCGCCTTCCTCCCTTCCTTTTCAATCGCCCTCGCTTGCACCACGGACAAAGCAACCCAATTGCTCAGTTGTGGCACATACTCCCTTCGTTTCAAAATAAATGACTAAAGTTAATACAAAATTGAGATCTAAAGTTAATATAAAATTGAGTCATCTATTTTGAAATGAAGGAAGTATATCCTTTCTATGCAAGTATCTTCTTTGCTCTTCTCCGATCGTGCCACGTAGGTACGCCTTCTCCCTCCTCCGCGGCAATCGTACGCACGTGGACGTACTGCACAACACATACATTACGTTGGCCCAATGACTGCTATACTCTCAGGCACGGCCAAAACGTGCTTAATTATAGCTCCGGCAAGCTCACTTGTTTTGGCCCAATTGGCGCGATATAGCCCCGGTTATTTAAAGGACGTACTGTGTTGCTTTTGCATCACAATGGCAAATAAAAAATCTTGGTCGCTCCTCACTTTTTTCAAAGGAAATTGCTCAACTGCCGCACGTTGTAATCTATATAAGACATGACTTTGCCTGCATGAGAGCTCAGCTAGCTAGCTGTTATGCGAAAGATAGCATTGCTACGAAAAATTACTAGTAGTATTAAATAAAATCTAAGTAAAAAGCCTCTAGAAGCAGAGCGTGCGTGCTTGCTTGGTTGCGTGTATATGTACGTGTATTTCAAGGTGCGCCAACGGTTTCTGGTAAGGCGTTGAATCCAAGCCCATTGCACTAGTGTTTTTCGTGTGGAGTTGCTTCATCCATCGCTGTGCGGCCCTTGCTTTAACGGTCTGAACCTGTTTCATTTCCCCCTGATCTTAACGGAAAAGACATGCGACCCTCTTGCATGCATGTTCTTGTCATTTTTACGAGCCCATCCAAGAAAGGTAAGAAAAAATAGCCTAGAGGCATCGTGTCCTTCTAATTCCACGCTGGATCTATCTGGATGGACTTGCAATATCGTTTTCATGCTCATTTTCTTTTGAAGAGAAAAATATTTTTTCACCCCGCAAAGTTTGCAAATGGACCATCAAGTTCAACCGGATATTTTACATCCATCGCTTGCCTTGAGTGATTTTGCGCCAACGTGGCATGTTTTTGACTGCTAATCTCGTCGCCTGATCGTCCACCTCACGTCACCTCCCTCCCTCCTCCCTCCCTCCCTCTCATCGGAGGAGAGATACGAAGCGACCTGAGGGTTGAAACTCATCCGGTGACATCAGTTTGGGGGACTAAAATTTTCCGATTTCGAAGTTGAGGGACCATTTCTTAATAATTGGTAAAATCGAGGGATGAAATATACTTTTGTTTGTTTTGATTTCTCTTTTTGAAGGCGTTGTTCTTGAGTATTGTGTTTTGTGGCTAGTGGATTTGCTCCCCAACATTAGTTTGGTGGTAAATGGTGGTAAATATAAGTATTGCAGGGACAATCTATTGAAGATGTCATCTGTTTTTTCTATTATGGAAGACAATATGCTTGAATTTTTATGCTTGGCCGCGCCTTAGTATATGTTAAGAAAAGCACCTGATTTTCACCAGCCGTTAGTTTTTGGGAACTAGGCAATAGTCTGATGGTAGGGTCGCAGTGACACATCCCAATCCACTAGGGTTTAACTCTTGTTGGGGAGAATTTCAAGCACCTCATCTAGGTGTGCTTTGACTTAATAAATTTTTACATTGTTTCCTTGTTGCTGGATTTGTTGTTTATTTTGTGTAGGTTCTTAATAAAGAAACTGAAAATTAATGGGGTGATTTCACTCGTTTAACAACAAAAACACTTCCCATTGTTGCAACCCCATGAAACACGTAATGGTTGTAGGCCTTGGATGCTCACATAGCAGTAAATGAATGGTAGACATTTATAAATTTTAGTACCACACGGCTTGGAGACACTGAAGATATGTTTTTTAAATGAAAGGGATCTTTCCTCCGATTTCATTAACGAAAGCAATAGTCTTATACGACCAAAATGCAACCTGGTACCACAAGAAACTATCGGGGAGAACAACTTACCACACTCATCCCCTACTTCTCACCCAATCACTAGGTAGAGAAGTTGGACAAAACATAGGTTTCACCGGTCCAATCGCAACATTCTAACACATATGGGATTACACAAAGACAACACAGGGTATGTTGGGAATTAGCACACAAATGCACTTGTGGTTAACTGATAACTGCAGCGGAAACAAAGTAATCTCAGCACCACATCATGTACTAACTCAAGGATCGTTGCTTAGCACAGAAGGAAACATATGCAGCAGCATATATGGAGGCAGAAAATGTTAAGCAGCAGGCAAGACACTCCTCAGCCTAGTGTCTTGTGGTAGGAGTAAGTTTCTGAACAGCACCAAGCATCAACAAAGAGACACCAGATTTACGTGGAAAACCCCTCAACTTGAGGGGGAAAACCACGGGCCAAAGCCACCCAAATCCTCTTCCACTATTATCAAATGTGGGATACAACAAGTTCTTCTCTAGACAGCACTAGAGGATCTCATACATCAAGATTTCTGAATCTTGGATGAACACCACAAGATTTGGGGCTCAAGAACTAGGGATTGGAACAATCTCACCAAAGATGGTGGAACCGAAGCTTGAAGGAGGAAAGGTAGTGGATCTGGACCATCACAACCTTGGGGAGGAGCTCCCTTTGCTTCTTCCTTCAATCTTTCTCTTCTTCCCTTGCTCTCTTGGTTTTTTCCCTCTTCTTCTCTCTTGGAGGATGAACTAATTTTCGTCACACTTGGTGGTGGCTGCTGGATGGAGGGTAAAGCATCCCCATCCACTCATGTGCAAAGTCCAAAATGACCCTAGGTCATCACCCTAATGGGTAGTAGGCTTCTGCACCTCTTTGGGCTGCCTAAAAGGCCTCAAATGGTCATCTCCTCACAGCCCACATGAGGAGGATATCCCAACAAATCTCTCCCTCCGACTCATGAGGGGGGCACCGCCATGTCCGCTACCTTGCAACATACTTATAGCTTCTCATTTGACAATATCTTAGTCATCATATCCGAACCATTTTCGTCGGTATGGATCTTCTCAAGTTTCAGCAACTTGGAACTCACGACATCTCAAATCCAATGGTACCTCACATCAATGTGCTTGGTTCGAGAGTGATAGCTTGAATTCTTGGCAAGATGAATAGCACTCTGACTGTCACAAAACAGAACATACTTCTCTTGCTTCATGCCGAGCTCTTGCAAGAAGTTCTTCATCCACAAAACTTCCTTGCCAGCATCAACTGCTGCAATGTACTCAACTTCTGTAGTTGATGTAGAAACACATTTCTGCAATCTTGATTGTCATGACACTGCTCCCCCTGCATAAGTCATCAGGTATCCAGATGTGGACTTCCTACGATCCTTGTCACCTGCGTAATCTGCATTTGTATAGCCCTGCAATACAGGATCACCGCTTCCAAAGCATAAACAAGATGTAGAAGTACCCTTGAGATACCTGAGAATCCACTTCACTGCTTTCCAGTGAGCTTTACCTGGATTTGTCATGAACCGGCTAATAACTCCAACTGCATAGGCAATGTCAGACCTAGTGCATACCATGGCATACATTAAACTGCCCACAGCAGATTGGTAAGGTACTTTCCTCATTTCTTGTTTCTCCTTCTTGCTTGTAGGACATTGTTTTGAATTCAGTTTGTGATGGCCTGCAAGTGGAGAGATAACAGATTTTGCATCTTTCATATTGAACCTTTGAAGTACCTTCTCAATGTATCTTTCCTATGAGAGCCAAAGCAGCTTCTTTGATCTATCACGGAAGATCTTCATGCCAAGTATTTGCTTAGTTGGTCCTAAATCCTTCATGGCAAATGATTTACTCAATGCCTTCTTGAAGAGAGCAATCCTCTTTGTGCCATTTCCAACAATCAACATATCATCAACATACAACAAGAGAATAATGAAGTCACCCTCGACGTAACTCTTCATAAAGACACAATGATCGGGTTGTGCTTTATGGTAACCAAGCCCAGTCATAAAAGACTCAAACATCTTGTACCACTGCCGAGGAGCTTGCTTCAAGCCATACAAGCTCTTCTTCAATTTGCAAACTAAATGCTCCTTGCCTGCAACCATGAATCCCTCTGGCTGCTCCATGTATATCTCCTCCTCTAGGTCACCATGTAAGAATGATGTCTTCACATCAAGTTGTTCAATTTCCAAGTCCATGATGGCAGCCATGCCAAGCACAACTCGGATCGAAGACATCTTGACCACTGGAGAGAATATCTCACCATAATCAATGCCCCTTTTCTGACTAATACCTTTCACAACCAATCTGGCCTTGTACCTTGGATGTGAGGTGTTTTCTTCAGTCTTCACTCTGTACACCCACTTGTTCTTGAGTGCTTACTTGCCCTTTGGCAGATTCACCAACTCAAAAGTATCATTCTCATACAGGGAATTCATCTCATCCTGCATGGCTTCTGACCATTCTTCTTTGTTCTCATCAAACATTGCCTCCTCATAGCATGAGGGCTCACCTGCATCTGTCATCAACACATATTGATGTGGTGTATATTTAGAAGAAGGAATGTGACATCTTTCACTTCTTCTTTGCTGCTGCACTGATGGTGAATCAGGTGGATTTTTGTTGGCATCATCATTACCAACTTCATCATCATCATCACTCGATGGCTGCTCCCCACTTTGACTTGTACTGCCTTGATCAGTTCATCTCCACTGTCTTCAGTGTCATTATCTCCCCCATGATTGTCA